GAAGAACCTCGGCTATTCGTCAAAGCATCGAATAGATCGAAAATCGAAAGAGTCAAGAGTTGAAGCTAACTACGCCGACTGAAGGCCAGATCAATCACATCCAAAGTATTCCAGCCTCTTCTATAAAAGAAACGAGTCAGGAACACTTTGGAGGGGGTATCTGTAGGCATCAAAAATTGCCTATAGTTCTCCACAACCGGTTCAGTGTTAACGAGCGACGATGAACGTCACCATCCAATCCACATGAGCCTAATCGACATCGACGAACGACTGAAGTGAATCGACGAGTTACATGAGCGGATAGGACTTCGGAATCACGAAGACCCGGACCAATCGGGAAGCCCGGCACTGTTCACAAAAAGGACAACGCCCTTCATGCCTCGACCACTCTACAGATAATCCAATCACCAGAGCGGGTCAAACTCTTCGTCGCGCATCCAACGCACCCGGAATCACTCAAATCCGAATCCGGACGAAGAATATACAGGGGAACCAACAAAACACCTAAACGGAGTCTCGGCAAGCTCGAAACACCCGAGGGGTGTCTTGGCAAAACCAAGACACCCCAGGGGTGTCTCGGCCAAGCCGAGACACCCTCGGTTTTGGAGCCGAGACACCCCCCTAGGGGGTGTCCTCAACCAGCCCCTACCCCCCTTTGTTTTCCTATAAATAGGCCCCTAGGGCCTCATTCTCTTGGCCTTGGTTTTGGGAGAGGAATTTCAGATCTTGAGCTCTAGCCTTTGAGATCTGAAATTCCAGAGAGGAGCGGCGAAGCCCTGCCGGAGGAAGGAGTCGGGGTTTTCTAAGAGAGCGGCGAAGCCCTGCCGGAGCGAGGAGTCAGAGGATCTACATCAGCCCCCTCTTCATTCATCTCTTCCCCTTGGTATTGGCCTTAGCGTTGATACCAAGAAGAGCTAGTGTCTCGTTTTAAGCCGAGACATAAGCTTTACACCTCTGAGATCCCACGCGGATCGACGGGGTTCAGAGTTTCTAAAATTCCCCCCGCGGATAGACGAAACTCTGCCCGATTTTCTCGGACCAGATCTGAGTGCCCCGGTGGTCCACGGATATCAACATCCCCGTCACAGGCAAAAGACCCACGCAAGCAAGAGATAACAAACAGATCTTGCGTTTGTTTGAAGAGAGTTGTATTTATTTTGTTTTCATTGTGTACCGGTCTTATAAAAAGGCTATCTTTTTATTTCATTGTAACGATCAAAGTTGTAATGAATGCAGCAATGAATACAGCAACTTTTTATTTCATTGTGTACCGGTCTTATAAAGAGAGGTATACGCTTATAATCGGCTTGTTTCGCCATTATGACGCCGGAGTCAATTAATGCTTGGATCTTGTTTTTGAGTCCAAAACAAATATTGGTGGGATGAAGAACCCTTCTGTGGTATGCACAGTAGTTTGGATCTGTAATCATTTTAGCTCCCTTCTGATCTTTAATAGGTGGTAGCTCAATTTTGTCATTGGCGAGGAGGTATTCCAATATGGCTGGAGCTTCATCATCTTCAAAAGAATACTCCTTTTGAAACCTCGGATCAAGAGTTGCGTTCCCAGCGACTGGAATTGTGGATGTCGTCGGTTGACCTCTCTCAACTTTCTTTCTTTTAAGAAAGTGTTCAGCTTGTTCACCGCGTATTTTCAAATCTTTCCAAGTTTTGGATGGTACGACCCCCAGGGCTTCCAGGACATCGATAGAGAGATTATTGTGGCATGTTTGCAGGATGAACTCCTCTATAACAAGATCTCTGCAATTCATTACCTTGTTACGGAAGCGCTTGACAAAATTGTTGACTGACTCTCCGTCTTTTTGCTTCTCATCCAGAAGGGTCCCGATTGACACTTCAGTGTCATCATCGAAGAAATAGCTGAGGAACAAACTTTCCATGTCATCCCAGCAATTGATGCTCCCTGGTTTGAGACGTCGGTACCAATCGAAGGCGGGCCCACGAAGGGTGCCAACGAATGACCGAACCATTAAAGCCTCGTTTCCAGAGATCATGCCCAAATGAGACTTGAAATAAATCAAGTGCTGAATCGGCGAACTCTTCCCCTCAAACGGTGTGAAGTTAATCAGATTGAACTTTGCCGGATACGGTATTGAATCCCATTCTCTTGGATAGGGACATAGAATACCCGTCTTTTTCACTTCTTGAGCCGTCATCAAAGCGTTGATTTTGTTTTCAAGCTCTTGCATTTTCTTGTCCTCATCTTCATCTCTCTCTGAGTGATGTCGAGCAGAAATAATTAGGCCATCCCCAGTAAAAGGTGCCATCGAACCACCCCCAATATCGTTATTGGGAGGATGTGCTAAACCACCCCCAGCGTTACTGCTATTGGGAGGTGTATCAGCCATAATGACTTCATCCACTTCTGGATCACTGTCATCTACAACATTCCGAGTGTGGTGGCTGGATTCAAGTCGCTGATTGGACTCAGGAGGTTGAGGCTGTTGAGTTAACAGTTCTCTCATTTGTTGGATAGCCAACTTCATTTCTGTCTTCACTTCAGCTCTAATTTCTTCACGTTGTTTGGCTAGAGCTTCCTGAAGTATTTGAGTGAACTGATCAGCAGTGATTGTGAATACTTCTCTGATTTGTCCTGTGCTAGACATTGTATCATCAGAAGCGATTGCAGAATAAGTGTCCGAGAATTCATCCTCCGAGGACATTCCTTTTTGCATTCTTTTGTAATCTCTGCGTCTGATGGTTCCTAATTGGAGTCGAGACATCCTTTGAGCAATTCTTGGATTGACTTTTCCTCTCGGGGAAAAGTCGGGATTTGAGTCATTTGAATGCCGTTTAGACTTTCTTTTATCAGCCACGTTGATGTTGACTTCAGGGAATTCATCATCTTGGGCAACTGATTTTCTTTTGCGGAAATGTCTCGGTCTCAGCTTAGGTTTCGACAATACAGAGACTCTTCGTGGGATGGCTTCTCGTTTAAAACAGTCACATTCTGATAATGCTGCTTTAACGAGTCGCACACAGGAACAATGAGAGCTTATTTCTCGAATAACTCTCTTTCGAAAATTATTCACAACCCCAACTTGATAATACGATTCATCGATATGATTACCAAAAAATCGTATCGTCTGTTGGCATGACCTCCCAGGTATGACGATATCATTTGGTGAATGCGTCTTCTTCTGGGGGTGTAAAACCTTGTTGACATTCTCAGGACAATTTATTTTTGTCTTTGAGCGATCCAAGGTTATGTCGGGAGTCGCACGTTTAAAACCACCCCTTTGCGGGTTTTGAGTCTTAACGGGCTCCGAATGCTGATTTTTCACAACTCCAGACTTTGGAATCCAAACTTGGCAGAGTTTCGGTGGTTCTTTGGTCACCGTTTCCTTCCTCCTTTCTCGTCTTTCCACCGTTTCCTTCTTCCTTTCTCGTCTTTGTTGTAAGAGAGCACGGGCATGAGCAGCGTTTGCACGACGTTTTTGTATACGTTCTTTGAGGGTCGAACGAATCCTTTTGACAATAGTCAATTCCTCCGTCGTGAGTTTAGCAGAGACATGAGTGATTGGTCGTTGAGACAACTGAACCACTCGATGCCTCCTTGACTCTAAGTCCGCATGATAACGAACTCCGTCGGGTTGTTCCAAGGTCTTAGCCATTTGGCGAGCGTGGCGTTGGCGTTGTCTCTGACGAGCTCTTTTCATCAATGCCGACGGGCTTTGATTTAATGACTCCTTAATTGGAGAGGAGTCATTATGAGCAGAGAGGTTGCGAGTAGAATCCTCAGCAACAATTAAGCGAGAGTCTTCATCTATAGTGTTTGACAACTTCAACAAATATGAAATCTTCCTGCATTTGCGAGGCGAGGAAGACTTTACAGATGAGGATGACAAATACTCCTCAAACTTCGCTTGGTCGAACTCGTACTCGACCGTTGATTCAACCGGGATCTTGATGGTTGGCTGCGACACGACGGTCTCGGCAGCGAGACCGTTGGCTCCCACTGTGGTCGCCAGCTTGTTTACGTCAAAAGTTGACTTTGTTATGGAATTCATTATATCTTCGGTCGATTACAACAAATTCAAAGAAATAGTCTTTTTATAAGACCTCTTTTACACAACAAAATAAAAATTACAACTCTTGAGAAACAAACGCAGGATCGTTGTTTGGATCGCTGCTTGCGTGGGATCTTTGCCTGTGCCGGGAGCGCTTTGACTCGTGGACCACCGATTCACAGATTCTGATTGAATCGTGAAAGTTTTGAAGATTCTTCCTTCGTTTATCGAAGTAGGAATTTGAAGCGAATATCTTATCGATGTAAGATATTCACTCTTCTAAAGATCAAGTCAGAGCTTAGATCTCTAGGAATGGTCAAAAGCTTCTTGAGGATGTTTGTGAAGAAGGAAGACTCTCTCTCTTGCTCTAATTCACCAAAACTCAAGGCTCTCTGCTCTAACCTGCTCTGAAAATGCTCAGCCCCTGTCAATGATGGCCATAGGGGAGTATTTATAGCCTCCTTAGACGATAACTGAAGAAATAGCCGATCAACAACTGCCTCTTTAGGCGCGGCAGTTGATGCTGTCGCGGCTAAAGGGCGCGACAGTCGACACTGTCGCGGCCAAAGAGCGCGGCAGTCGACACTGCCGCGGCTAAAGGGGCAGTTACACCCACGTTCATTCGTGTTTGAAACCGTTCTCCCACGACCTTTAACCACCTTTTTCGTGGTTTAACTGCGCGTCCACGTCAGCACACGTTTTATCTCTGATATGCCGCCACGTGGACTTTAAATAATCATCGAATAACTGCCATATAACTGCCACAACATCTTCTTGTAATAGCCGTGGCACCATAGGTTGCAGCGGCTAAGCCGCGGCACCATAGGCTGGCGCGCCCTAGCTCAGCCGCGGCATCATGGTCTGCCGCGCCTTAGCCGCGGCACCATGTCCTGCCGCGCTGCCATGTAGTTGCTTGATAATGTGTATAATATTCTTCTATGTTATCTTGAGTGGTGTTTGGACGTCTGTAAGCATTTTTTGACGCCTACAGTATGCAGTATGCAATTGGAGAGAATAATGATGACGTAAGTTGGATGGATGAATATTGCGTAAATAACGACTATGTAGAGTTTGAAGAGCCGTTGCCAGAAGAGTTTCAAAATGATGAGTGGATAAATGCCTCACAAGCTGAGTTCGTCAATCCTGGCCCTAATTTCGATCAACCCGAGGACTTTACTTTCAAAAAAGGAGAACTTTTCAAGAACAAGGAAACGTTAATTTTCGCTATACGTGAATGGGCAATTAAAAACCGGGTCAAATTCAAGACGGTGAAAAGCAACACAACTAGCTATCATGTAAAGTGTTACTTTAATGAGAAAGGTCAAGGAGAGAATACAAGTGTTGCAGATGATAGAAATTCAAAGTGTCCATGGAAGCTTAATGCAGCTGTTAGGAAAAAAAAATCTAATGACCAATTTATAATCTCTAGTTATTGCGGACTCCATACATGTTCTAATCCGACTGCAACTTATGATCATAAGACTTTGACTTCCTCTTATATCACAGAGCTAATTATGCCCGAAGTTAGGCAGGAACTTGATCTTACTCCAGGACAGATAATTACAAGGGTATATGATATGAAAAGAATAACAATATCCAAGTTTAAAGCATATGATGCACGGAGGAAGGCGTTAACTAAAATCTTTAAAGATTGGGAGGAATCTTACCAATTACTTCTGCATTACCTTTCAACAATTATGAGGAAAAATCCCGGTACCGAATATGACATAGTGTCTAAGGAGGTCGCGCCAGAAATGGAGAGGTTCATATGGGTTTTTTGGGCATTTGGGCCCGCTATCAGAGGGTTCTCTTTTTGTCGTCCGCTCTTAAGTATCGATGGAACACATTTATATGGTAAGTACAAAGGAGTGCTCTTGGTTACGACCGGTGTAGATGCAAACGGTGGACTATTTCCTATAGCTTTTGCAGTTGTGGAGGTGGAGGACACATCGAGTTGGAAGTGGTTTTTTTAATGTATTTACAAATTTATTCTGACTGTCAAAGTCCACGGGTTATTACCTTTATTTCTGACCGGATGAAAGAAATTCCACGAGCCTTGCACGAGGGGTGGAGTGTACCACATCATCACCGACATTGCTTGCGGCATATAAGAGCTAATTTTAAGAAAAAACATGGAGATGTCAATTTACAAAATCTATTATGGCAATCCAGTTGTGCAACTGACTCACTGGTATATGAGCATTGTAGAGAGAAAATTAAATCCATATCACTTTAAGCCCACAATTGGATTGAACAAAACTTGAAGCCGCAATACGAAGATCGATGTGCATTATGTAAATATGGTGGAGTGCGATATTGTATGATGGCAACTAATTACTCCGAAAGTTTCAACGGCGTACTTAAGGGTGCCTGTGCTATGCCAATTCAAGCCTTAGTTGCAAGGACGTTTTATAGATAGAACGCATACTTTAATAAGAGGCGTAGTAATAGTGCAAATTGGACGAGTAAGTACACTCCAAAAAATAAGATTATTTTGCAGAAAAGGATTGTGGCTGTGAGAACATGTAGAATTGAACAATTCAAAAGCAATGAGTGGGAGGTTAAAGATTATGATGGTACATACACCGTTCATCTCGACGATCAGGAGTACAATTGTACTTGTAGTATACCACAATTACAGAAAATCCTATGTCAACACGTTTTAGCGGCTAGTTCCAATCAAGATGGTGGTGCTAGATTGCCTTATGACCGGTATTGCTCAGCTTGGTATTCAACAAATCATTATCGGAAGGCTTATAAGGAGAGTTTTCATCCTCCCGATGATACTCGTTATTGGCCGAATTTGTATATACCTTATATATTACCACCTAAGCACAAAAGACAAGTGGGACGACCAAAATCCGTACGCATTAGATCTACCATGGATCAAAGTTGTGAAGGAGTAGCGTCACGAATCCGATGTGGACAATGTAATCAATTAGGACATAATAGGTCTCGTTGTCCATCAAGAGCAAGTAGATAGCAATTAATTTGTAAGTAAAATATTTTCTAATGATATGTCATCATTATATGTTATTGATTTAGCAAGTAGATACATTATTCATATGTATTTGATTTGGCAGAAACTCATAAGTTATCGTTATATGTGCAGGTATATACACGATGCTTCCCGGACCGGTTAATGATGAAGTCCTTTATGATCAGTCACGCCACTGTTCGGAGAGCATATCATTTACATCGGTAATGATAACATTTTTACAGTAACATATTGCTTAATCATTTTTATAATCTAATATTTGTTTTCATTTATGTGCAGAGAGGACAAGAGCTGGTTATGATTGATTATAGCCTTGGACATACGCGCTGGACACTTGATGATCCTTGCATCATTGCCCTAGTATCCCAAGCCGGTTTTTCTTACTTGCTCAAAATTGAAATGGATGAAGCTCGATTGGGCACTGCTTAACGCGTTGATGGATAGATGGAGGCCGGAGACTAATACTTTCCATCTACGTGTCGGCGAGACAACTATTACTCTCCAGGATGTAGCAGTGATCCTAGGTCTCCGCATTGATGGCCCTTGTGTCACGGGGACTGATAAGCATGATTGGCGAGACATATGTGATAATTTGTTAGGAATATCTCCGAAGTCCTTGCCTGGAGGGTATATTAGATTGAAGTGGCTTAAGGAGAGTTTTGGAAACCCGTTGCCATAAGATGCACCTAAAGTGATGATCCAACAGCATGCGAGAGCATATATTATGCACATGATCGGGACGTTTCTTTTTCCCGATTCAAGTAAACATAAAGTCCATTTGAGGTAAGTAAACATTAAGTATTGATTTTTGCTCACTATTCTTAGTATGCATGACTAACGTATTTGAACTCGCGCTAGGTGGTTACCACTTATCGAAGACTTCGACGTGTGCAGGACATTATCCTGGGGTAGTGCTATTTTAGCATACCTATATCGAGAAATGTTAAAGGTTGCTTTAATGCAAAATAAGGAGCTCAAAGGTTGTTTAACATTGCTATAAGTTTGGGCATGGGAAAAATTGGTTTTGGAACCACGATTATGCGAGATCCGAGAGTTAGATGGACATATTCCACTAGGCTGCAGGTAAAAATTGTCAAATTGAATCTCATTTGTATTTAATTTTAAATTTAACATTTTGAACAAAAACGTTTCTTGCAGATGGAATGTCACAAAATCCTATGATGAGACGCCGGCTAGGCAATTAGATTTTTACAGAAGGGAGCTCGACCGGATGAAAAATTTTTAGGTATCGAATTTGAATTGAAGTACTCTATGATATCAATATATTTCAAAGAGATATTAACATTTGGATTTTTTTTGCAGTTCGAGTGGCAGTCATACACCCCTCACCTACCTCGTCTACCGTTGATTTGTATGGAGGGACACGGCATATGGAAGGCCAGAGTTCCTCTCGTCTGTTTCGAGATTGTGAAGATGCACGTACCCGATCGCGTGTTTAGACAGTTTGGACTCGTGCAACATGCTCCACAATATGTCAAAAAAATAGAGAGAAAGGCGACTAAAGGTGGACATCAAATTGACTGGCAGCGCACACATCAATCATTCATTGCCAGGTGGAATGATCGACATAAACATATTGCCAATCAGCTTTATCCTCCGATGGAAGAAGTTGATTACATTAAATGGTATTGGGGGATTACCAGACGTTGGATAATCACTCAAACTACGCCTCCAGTCGACGAAATCGAGATTCGCTCCCAACAATCCCGATATGTACCAAGAGGGGTAGATGAGCGACGATGGGTAAGTTAAATTGTCAAAATTATCATAGAATGTCAATCTCTTCTTAGCTTATGGTTTCTAATATCAATATTTTTATGTAATTGTAGATAGATGCTATGGACGAGGTCGAGAGGATTGCAAATGAGGGCATAGCTACCGCCACAGGAGATTCAGTACATGTATCGATATTGCATCGGATAGTGGCGAGAGTTCGTAGAGCTTTTCAACAAACTCATGAGGATCAGCATGAAGCTTGTGAGCAGGTGGATCTTGACGATACTCTTATGCACGCCGACGTAGACGCGGTAGACCTTGCACGCACGACGATGAAGTCGGTCCGTCACAGCAAGCCGGTCCATCACAGCCCCATACACAACCGGAGAGCGAGTATATTCAAGCTCAAGTCGAAGGAGGACGCCTACGATCTCAACAAGTGCGAAGAGAGAGACAACGGGGGAGGGGTGGATTTTTTATTTGTTAGTTTTTCCACTAAGATATATATTGTCGTATGGATTTATTGACCTTGGATTTGTTTATCTTAAACTACATATTATCGTATGGGTCGACTTGAGACATTTGGATTTGTTTAGCTTAGACCGATATAAATTATCGTATGGATTTGTGATGTGTAATTTTGTCGGATTTTGGATGTGATGTGTATTTCGTCGGATTTGTGTTGTGATGTTGTTGATTACGTCGGATTTGTGTGGTGATGTACTCTATGATGAGATTTTGTGTTGTGATGTTGTAATTTTATAACTTTTATCATAGTATACAATGTAAATGATAGCTTTTTGGCGAAAATTTTGGTTGTGATCGATAAATGAGGCTCATGCATGTTTGGTGCATGTTGCCCCTTTGCCCAGCAAATCCACGGGACTAGTAGTCTCGTGGATTTGCTGGGCCGAGGGGAAGTGGCTCTGCAAAACGTACATGACTAGTAGTCCCGTACGTTTTGTTAATGAACAGAAAATATACGGGACTAGTAGTCCCGTATATTTTCTGAGTTCGCTAACCATTAGATTAGTTGGCTCTAAACATACGAGACTAGTAGTCCCGTATGTTTTCTGAAGCCACTTTTTTAAAATCGACTTTTTTTTGACCTATTGGCCAAAAGAGATCTATCTTGCTAATTATTTAGTAAAGTGGTCTATTTTGCTGTATATTTTATAAAAACGGTCTATTTTGCAAAATTTCCCAAAAATAAATAAAATAGGGGCTCGTGCGGCACGTGTGCACACCGCACCTCCATGTATATTTCATTAACAACCGCAAAGCGACGATCTCGTTAGTTATATTTTTATTCAAAAATGAAGTCTCCCTGCTGACTCAGCTACTGATAATGTGCCGGAGTCGCTCTGACGTCAGCGAAACGATCTACCTCCCCTCCTCCGACTCCGGAGCCCTCCCCTCAACGCGGTGAACGGACCCCGAGTACGCTATGGGCGGTAACCTCACCTACCCTCATCCTTCAATCTACTCTCGCTTTTTTTTATTACGCTCCAATGGGGTCATCCTCTTTCATTTTCTCCTCTCTCTGGATCCTAGGGTTTCGATCTCTGATCTCTAACAACGCTGCAGGATTCGAAGAGAAGTGCGGAGAGAAGAGATCGAAGGGATCGAGGGAGTCGAAGGAGGTCAGTAAGAATCTGTGGCTGGCTCCGAATCCGAGCAAGAGATGGGGCGAGATCTTCTTCCTGATGTATACCCCTCTCGTTTTTACGCTGTGCCTCGGGATCATCGTGCCGTATAAGCTCTACGAGGTTCGGTTCCTTTTTCTGTTTCCGGATTGAAATTTTTTTGACTTGAGCTGTTGATTTTCCCGCTATTTTCTTATTTTTAAATGATGGAATTGTACAGTAGACGAGAAAAGTATTGTTTGAGGAGTAAGGGGAGCTTTTTTTTTTTTTAAATAATTGAAGATCATCATAATTTTGCTTCTGATCTGGAAATTTTTTTATGAGAGAAGGGAGTAATTTTGTTGGAGATTTTTTTCCATGTATATTTTTTGAAAATATGGCTGTTTGGTTTAGTTGGGAGGATGTGGTTTATTTTCGATTTTAAAAATTTTAGGTTGGCCTGTAATTCTCACTATTCCCTTTGTTTAAAGTATATAATTGTGTAATAGAGGAAAATAATCATAATGTGAAATGCGTAGGAGCTTTTGCTAAGTTTTGGTTAAAATAATCAATTTTTTTTGCTTTTGATCTGAAAATTGTAGATTGTTTCTCATAGTGTGAAGGATTATGATGTTTTTTGTTGAGAGAAGGGAGTAATTTTTTGTAGATATTTTATATATAATTTTTTTCTTTTTTGCTTTGGATCTGAAGTTATGAGTATTTAGTTGGGAGGAAGGTTTATTTGGATTTAAAAAAAATTATGTTGACCTATGATTTCTTATTATTTCTTTATTTAAAGTATATAATTTTTTAATAGAGGAGAAGGAGCATTATGTGAAGTGCGTATGAGGTGTTGTTAAGCGAAAGGAGTAATTTTTAGTCCTAAGCATCGATTTTTTGCTTTTTGATATGAAAATTGTAGATTGGGCTTTGATTTCATAATTTTTCTTGATTTTAAAGTACATAATTTTACGAAGAGAAGAAAAGTGCCAGATTTTTTGTTGCATTGTTGTAGGAGGTGAAATTCTAATGTTTTGTGCCTTCAATTTATTGCTGAAATTAGTTTAACTCGGATTTTAGTACTTATTAATTCGTGGATGCATGATAGTGCCGAGGTATGAGCTAAAATTTACTGAAATTAATTCTGATTACAGACTTTCACGGAGCTAGAGTATTTAATATTGGGATTGGTTTCAGCGGTACCATGTTTCTTGGTACCCCTTGTACTTGTTGGAAAGGTATGCGGTAGATGTTTTGTTGTGCCATTATCACTGCAATTGTCTTCTGTGTTTTTATTAATTATTACTATTATTTAATATAAGTTGTTCTTAAGTAGAATAACAATGAATTAAAGCTATGTTTCGTTGCTACAAAATCCATGAAAGACAAAATGTCGAAGATAAGAAAAGAAACATGTGATAGTCTCCTTTCATTTTCCGCAAGTTTGGAAACATTGTTAAAAAACGGGTTATGTAACGCGTTATAACGCGTTTTATAACATAACGTGAGGTCCATGTTACATAATTCAGGGATATAACTCATACACAATATAACACATCGTTACTTAAAAAAAACGCAAAAAAGGTCAAAACACATTACTTTCATAACCTAAAATAACCTAAGTTAGATGCACTTGATTTTTGGAAACGTGGATTTAATATTTGAATAATTGGTAAACAATTAAAGTTTTTATGAATTGTTAGTATTTATAAAATATCTGAATAATTGGTAAACAATATAACCTACGTTGCGCGTTACGTTTTTTTTTGCGTTTTTTTTCTTGACCCTTAACAGGAGGTAAGCGTTACATAACCCATATTCGTTATTTTCAACATTGTTTGGAAATGTAACAATTTCAACTCCATGGAAAAGAAAAATACTGTTTCAGTTCCTTTCAATTTCACGTTCTTTCAGCTTGTTTAATTGCCTTGAAATTGGTTGGGAAAAAAAAACAGAAAAGAGGCAGCAAGACAAAGAAAATTATTGCGTCCACTTTCTCTAAAGTTGATCGAAGTATCTACAGCTCAAGTTCTGTCATCCTTTTTGTCAGTATTTGACTTTATTTCCTTAATTAACTCTGAGAAAATAATCTAAAGATCTATTTACCTTTTCTCACTTGCATGGGACCAAAGGCTGTATTAGTATTCAAAGCTTAGATGTTAGAAATCAAGGTCATTACTCCCATCTCATATCTCTCAAATGTCATTAAGTTTGTAAACACTTAGAAAAAGAAAAAAACACATTCTTCAATCGGCTAAGCCTCACATCCTGTTCCTGTTGCCTAAGACCAGGGAAGATTAGTTTCTTAATGAGAAAGAGGAATTAGGTGGAAAACAAAGCTATTGATCTAAGTTGGGTCATATATCGTATCGTACTTAACAACTCATATGAATGCTGCTCATATTCGAGCAGCTCATATTGCTAATTCTAGCAACCAATCAATATTCTAATTCTAGCATATTTTCATAGGTTTTGGCTGACTCTCTCCTCTTCCAATCTGATAAAAGATTGGTTGAACCTGACTCAACTATCTTCACCCCATCTGGACCTGGAGCTTTCTAAATTCCTTTCCTACAGCTTTTGAAGAAAAAGCGAATCTGAGCCATGCGAGGGAGGGCAGTGAGCGCTATTTGAGAAATTACATAATATATATGTAAAAGTGTACTTGCAATAAATACAAAGTAGTTATTTGTTCCAAGCTCCTCTTTTAATTTCAGAACCCCTGGTTTTATGTACTTGTTGACCTATTATGGAGGAGCACGCAAACATATGTCATCCTTGTTTCCTTAATGTATTGTTGTCTCCTCAAAATGAGTATGGTTTAGTATTTATCATCTGGCTTCAGTTTTCATGCAGTTGTAAGAGTGGTGGTGGGTAACCATGTCTGGAACGACTTCCTCAATTTTTATGTAATAGCAAGCATGTAACTAACTGTTAGTGAACAAAACTAGATGCACACAACAAACAGGCAAAAAACACATAATAATTGATGAATTTAGAAATAGAGGAAAACATAGTATTTTGCTGTTCGCTCAGTTTTTATGAAGGCAAATAATTGACATTTTCAAAAAAACTAACAAAACACAATCTTACTTCTTTGCTCCATTCTGAAGTAGAGAACAAATGTTCACAGCTCAAATAGATCTAAAATCCTAATCTAAATCTGAGATCTTCATCTTGGACCCTTTGCAGTCATTTGTAATCTTGGAATTTAAGCGTATTATGGAATTTTTCCTTTTTTCCCCTTTAAAGACCTAGTTTCTTATTATGAGCTAGAAGCTAATTTATATTTCACTTTTGAATCTTTTGATCCTTTCTTGCCCTTGTTTCCCAACTTACTTTATTATTAAGCACTATATGTTTTATTGTTTGGGATTTTTAATGACCATAGCTAGCAGACCATGTGGATGCAGCTATCTACATGAATAAAAATAAAAATAAAAATGGATGCAGTTTGTTAGAAGAGAGTGATAAAGAGTTTGAAGCAGAGCTGCTAATGTTCTTTGTAACTGAAGCGGGTGCTTTTGTCAATTGGTTTGTTTGATGTATTCATCTATGGAACTTCTTAACTTTCTCCCTTTTGTATTTAGTAGAGTGTCCTTAATAATTGACATGCTTATATAAATGGAAGAGTTCCAATATTCTTTCATTGTATGAAGGTTTTAACTGTTTGGCCTTCCTTGCAGGCAGATAGTGGGAAATGTTTGAAGGATCGTTACTGGGTGAAGGTAATCACTAGACTGAAATTTATTATAAGCTGGAAATATGTCTAGCAGAGTACAGGGTTTTAATTAAACATGCACCAGCAATGACCTATACTGTATATGGCCATTTCAGCTCGTTCTCCCCTATTCCGATGGACCAAATAGGCTTGAAGTTTTTGTTCATTATGTGGTGTTCAGAAAACAAGTGAGAGTATTGAAAATGTCTTGTTGTTATCCGGTCTGATGATTATTAAATAACTTGCAGTGACATTCTCTTTTCATTTTGTGGATATGGTGTATTAGGTTAGTTTTAATCAATTTTGGAACTGTTGTTAACCAATCTCCAGTTTCGTTAGAGTTTGATTTTTCATGAAGTTATAGTTGCTCATGCTTTACGTTTTCTTTTTCCCTTTTCTTCTCGCTCTTTGACATAATTCCCATCCCGGGTCGGGTGTGGAATTCAAATTCTTACCCAGATGAGATTGGTCACACTTATTCAGCTGTCAAGTGCTGTATTCAATCACGGGTTTTGTCTCTGTATATTCAGGGTTAAGTGACGATAGAGCTTTTATAAACCATAAACCACAGATAGTAGTGCAGTCCTATTGAAAGGTGTCACAAGTTCTTCTATTCTTAATACCTATGCATTAGTATATTGAAATGCTTAATGTCATTTAAAGCATCGAAGGATCACACAGCTTAAGAACCTTTGAACCTTTCAGATATCTTGATAGGTTTGAATCCTATTGTCAAATGAATCTTTCTGAAAGCCAGCATTCAGTTTTTCCCCATCTTTTTCTAAAGAAAAAAAAGTGAGAAATCCTTTTTACTCTAAGGAGAATATATTTACATATGAGAAATACGAGCTCGAAGATTGGTAGATGGGATAGGTTTAGCTGCATGTTCATAGATACACTTTTAGCATGTGAAACTGCCAAATTCCTTGTCCATTTCCTTTTACTATGAAATAGTTTATTCTCTGGAAGATGTTTTAACCTTCACCTCACCCTGATACTTTTGTCTTTTTTGTTTCTCTCTCTCTATATATAATGTTGTTGATGTAGCTGCTTATTTAGAATGTTGGTTTCTTGATTGTATGTTTTGAACTTATTTCTTTTTGTTCCTATACATTACATGGATATCTGACTCAACTATTTTTGCAGGCCAACCTTTGGATAGTAATTTTCAGTTATGTTGGGAACTACTTTTGGACTCATTATTTCTTCACCGTTCTTGGAGCTTCATATACTTTTCCATCTTGGAGGATGAACAATGTAAGACGCATGAATCAATCATTTCAAGAAAGGGCATCTTCCTTCTGATGTTGTTCCACTATAAATAATTCTTGTTTCATTGTTGAGTTGCATAGAGTTGGAGGATCCTTTAACTGGTAAATGATACTATTTAATAAATTTAATGCAATCTATTATATGACCAGTTTTGATCACAATTATTGGCAAACCTACAAGGAAACAGGGCGTAGTCTTAGTCATCAGAATTGCTCATTTCTCCTTTCAATTTCTAGGTCTGCTGAGGATTATCTCTCTTTGTCCCATTTTAATGTATCTTTTTCGTATTATTATCAACATAATTTCACGTTGTTAAATGTAGCATCTCTTCTGAACTACATCTGGTATCATCATATATTCCCTGAAACATTGTGGCGTCAGTGTGGTTTTAGGTAAGATCAAGGATAACAAGGTTCACGCACCTTCTGAAATGTACAAAACAACAAAGTATATACCGATTGATCTTTTTGACTCTTTGTAGCAAAACCACCTTGTACCTATTTACTATGAATTGAATAATTTTCTTTCTCTACAGCTTAAATTTTCTGTCATATGCACTTTTAGACTCAAATTTTACCGTGGATACACTAGGGATAAAAATCCCAAAAGTAGTGCATGCTCAATTAAGAATATTCCCTTTACTCTGCTTGATATATGAAATTCTTGTTGCACAATGGACCTTTTTGTATCTCATTTAGAAAGCAACTTCAGGTTAGAATATATAGTTTTGCAACATTGGTAGTATTATTTCAGCACGACTTCAAATATCCATTTCTGGTACCAATTAAGCTGAAGGAAGAGAAGCAAATCGTAAAATCTGTATAAATCACTATTTTAATTATTTAAACTAAGATACCATATGGGTAAGTGAAGTGACTCATTACATATATAAGCAATCTCTTTTTAGTCTCTATCCATGTGATCCATATGGAATGCCTGGCTTCTAGTTCCAGTAGATGGTGGAATGGATAACTTATTATAGCTTACTCTTCACTTCGTTATTGCATCACAAGCCTTTGAATATAGATACTGTTTCACACACTACCAAAGATTTCATAATACTGGTGGTTAACGAAGTGTTCATTTATCTTTGTTACAAATCGTGATATCTTTCATACTTAATTAAATGACTAAACATGTATCATTGATTTATATTGCAGGTGCCACATACTACATTCCTTCTTACTCATGTTTGTTTCCTATTTTACCACATGGTATCAAACATGACACTTCGTGGACTGCGCCACTCCGTTTCTGGCTTGCCAAAGTCAGTTCAGCTCATTTTTGAGGCTGCATGGATCCTGGCCTTAAGTTATTTCATCGCATTTTTGGAGACTTTGGCGATAGCAAATGTATGTGGTAACATATTCATCTACCATTTGAGTAGTTTGCTTATGGACCAATATTTTGTGATCTGTAGTTTGCTTATGGACCACTGTTTTGTGATCTGTAGTTTGCTTATGGACCACTGTTTTGCAATTTGGATGTTAAAATTAACTGTTGTTTGTCTTAAGCATATGTGAAATTGGACTTACTTTCTAAATGTGTGCTGGACTTATCTACATGTAGTACTCTGACCTTTTGATACCTTGCATTATATTTAATTCTTATTAATAGATGAGATTCTAGTCCCACTTTTAGAACTTGTTATACTTTTATATCATCGATCAGGGCTGCGTGTAAATAAGTATGAGTGTTAGAACATGGTAGGACTGAAGTTCAAAGTTTTCATTGGCCGCACTAGGTGCAGTGTCAAGGGTTAGAAAATAGCCTTAGCTTTTGCATAATTGGTTTTCAGCCTACACTAATGTCAGTGTTGATTGTTCTTGTGATCTAGAATGGATGGTCTCACTGTCTTTGTGAGAGAGACCAATCTAACATTTTGTTGTCTAAGTTCTAATTTTACTTCTCATCCTTCCTCTGACCATGAAGCTCTCAATCTTGATAAATCTGGTACGTAATTCCGTATTACTTAAGGATTTCCTTCAGACACTCTTCTGAAATCATATTCTGGGAATTTTGATCACTTGGGAATATCAATTTTGTTGTTTCAGGAGATATCAGTTAGTCATTTAATTGAGATCCTACTTTTTAGAGCTTATAGTTACCCACTGAAAATGGATGAGCTAGCGTGCCTGCAGTGCTTGATGTTTTCTCAGGAAATGAACAAATTAATTGATTTAAATTGCAAAACTAATGTCTTTGGCTCAAGAAAAATTGAAACGAAGGTTGAAGAATGTGGAAAATAGCTCTATGATAATCAACTTGTTCTTCTTAAAATGGTAAGGTATATACTCAAATTAGGAAAGGAATTTCCAGATAATTGATCTTTTAGGTGCAGGGTGCAGGCATTTAGTTATCTTAATCTTATGAGATCTTTTCCCAACAAAACTTAGATACTAATTATGGAATCATGCAACTCATATCTGGTAGTAGGACACTTCAATCTTTGACATGGTTCACTGCCATCAAATGAGCGTCTTTTTCTTTTCTGCATGTTCTGCATGAATTATTTAGCTGTTTGTTCTTCTTTGGCATGATTAGAAGTGACGGCATGATTAGAATAGATTCCTGTTTGAAAATACTTTTCTATTAACTGTATGCTTGTTGTCGTCAGTACCAACCGTATTCAAATAGATTGCATTTTATTTATCTGGGAGGTGCCAGGTCTAAATGGGTGATGAGAATTTCAAATGTTTTGGGCTAACGTAGGACTTTAAATTCCATTGTCAATCCCTTCATTCGAAAATGCTTAGAAAACTCCAGAAACCAGTGTGAGGAATGGGTTTTTTTTTTATAAAATTTCTTAACCCAAGCTGCATAGCAGCGCTCATAGACCTAGCCTCTTCTTGATCAGAGATCTTGATCATTGCAGGGTACCAATTACCAAATACAACTTAAATTCTATCTCCAGAGTGAACTTGTTCTTTTCACTATTCAGAAATATATTGTGGTAGGGTGCAAATGAGGCAAAGGGGCATGATATCGAGCAGTTGTTCCCTATTTTCATGTTTTGCAGTCTCATTCCTGACTCCCAGTTGCTGTGTGCGTGTGAAATGCTTGTTTCATGTTTTGCAGTCTCATTCCTGACTCCCAGTTGCTGTGTGCGTGTGAAATGCTTGTTCCATCTTTGCAAGAAGGATGAGCTTTGATAAACCGTAGTTAAGTAAGATTTCTAAAGTAGTGAAGGAATCCACTAAAAGAGGCCAGGTTTTCATCTGTTTGCATATGGCTGGCAATAGTTTTGCACATCTATCGTTTAAAACAAAATGAGTTGTTTAAGGAGAGATAAAACCTGTAAGAATTGCACGCTACATATGTTTGTTAGCAAGCGGTGGTTTCTACTAGTGTCTTTCCTCCACATTGGTCAGGATTTGACATTGTAAAGAGCAGATTCTTTTGGATAGCTTTCACAAGGACCCCTGACCCAGATGATTTTGCTTTTAACACAGTAGTAGCTATTAGAATGTGCTCTATGTCGTGCATATATGACTTCAATCTGTAGCATAACATTGGAACAAACCTTTTTTACAAAGAAAATAATAATAATAATAATAATAATAATAATAATAATAATAATAAATAGTAAAAAAATAAAAATACTGAATATTTTTCATTTTCTTTTTTAAAGGTTATCCAGTTGACTATTGATTGTATGAAACGAGTTTGCTGGGTATTGATAATTTGATATATTCCAGGGATTAACAGACACTGCATTACAATAGGAAAAGAATGTTATAATACGTGGATCAGGCCGTATCATAGGTTCCTGTACGTCATCTGTGCAATTATTGATATTAACATTTGTTTTTTTTTCCTCCTTGCAGTTTCCCTACTATGACTTTGTTGATCGGGACCTTATGTACAAAGTAGGATCCCTGTTTTATGCTATTTACTTTCTAGTGAGCTTCCCTATGTTTGCAAGGTAAGAAACAAGTCATTCAGCATATTACTTATCTTAGTTTATAAATTGAAATTTATGCATCATGAACTATAACCATGTCTTGTTTTATATGCGCATTTATCAAAATCACCCTATGCCATCATTTATTTTGACAGTATCTGGTAACTGCATCTAATTGAGATTCAGATTCATTATAACTTTCGCATAGTTAGTTTCTAGATTCTTTGAGAAATTTAGTGTGTAAATTTGGAGCTTACACATCCTGTACTTGGAACCATCTTTTATATGATACAGCAGGTTTTCATATTCACCATGTTTGTATTTCCTTACAACATCTGTTGACTGCATATCGTCGAGATTTAAGTCCAGATGATTTGCTGTTTTTCTTGCACATTTATTTGTGATGATATTACACACTGCATTCACGATATAATTATGTACAGTTTTTAGTGACCATTTTGACAATTCTTGTCTTGTCCAACATTTTGTTTGGTTGAACTCTTTTTTTCCCGGTTACTATATTGGGTTGAACTTAAAATGCAATAGATCTCATTTATAGTTGTAAAATCTTTCACTTCCAGAACTAAGAGGATGCAACATATCACATTAATTTTAGCGTAACTTAGACTATATCAGTTACTTGCATTTACATAGTTCAATTATTCCTTTCATCTTCTCCAATGAATGCAGGATTGATGAGAAAGACAGTAATTCATGGGATCTCCCTAGAATAACAGTCGATGCATTGGGTGCTGCTATGCTTGTCACAATAATACTTGATTTATGGCGTATATTTTTGGGCCCGATTATCCCAATGTCAGAATCAAGACAATGCACGGCGCCAGGCCTTGCTTGGTTCCACAACCCTGAGAGCTCTATGCCAAACCGCAGTGCATGATCCTTCATATGTTTGTAGAAAATATTGTATGAACGTTCTAAAGATGCGCGCTTTAGATTTTTAGGTCTCGCTTAAAGCCTGTATTGTTATTGTCATGGATTAGCTCCTTGTTTTTATGCTGACCAAACCCTGATGAGAACCAGAGGAAAAGCTTCGTATGCTGTGTTCATGGAACTTTGGTTGAAGCCATATCCAGCCGAACTTGTTCGAGTTATTGAAGAAGAGCTGCATTGAAGCTACGTGGAAAATTTTGCTGCCTAAAATCTCTGTCATGGCTTTGTATTCATTCAATATGTTTTGTTCCGATGATCGAAATTGTTGGTATTTTGTCCAGGGTCCTTTTCTTCTTGGTAAGATTATGAGAATTTTATTTTTGTTCCTGGGATCAGTTCATGATGAAGGAATGCAGATGGGAATTGAAGTTGCCTAGCTTTACCTGCTCTACTTTAAGCGTTGGTTACTGTTGCTGAATCTATTCTATCTTATGGTCGGGCACTTGAGATGCAAGAATGGATATGAGACATTTGAGGAAGTTTGATGTTATTTCTAAACGTGGATGTAGATGGAAAATGAGTTGTCAGTCATTATGCTAACCCAATTTCTTCCCTCAGACCCTCGTGTGGTTTTCTCAACACAAAATGTAGCTTTAAGATATCAAGAAAAGCTCAAATAAATCATTTCTTACATAAAAAAAAAAAAAATCTTAAGGCTTGAAGAGTCTTGCATGTAGATTATGTTTCATTTATAGGGGTAAAAGGTAAGATTCATTACTCTAGCGTGGCAACCTTGAACCCATGTGAGTTTGAATTTCTCTTGTCTGAGTGGCAATAGTGCAATTTTATTGTATAGTTGTTTACGATTTTATGATATATGGAATCTATCATGAGATGCTACATTACAAGTTTATACATCATCTACTTATATTTTATGGTATGAAGTCTATTAAGAGCACAACCAACACCACCCCCAACAAGAGCAATAATTATCTCAAAAATTTGAGGTTCATTTTATAATGAATTAGCTCCTCCGTTCGTTATTCGATTATCATATTCTTCTTAATTGCTTTCAACCAAACTCCTTTTGCTCTGTTGATCATAATCTTACTTTTTGATCTACCTGTCCCGCGCGTTAATAATTATCTCTTAATTGTATGTCCCGAGCTAGAATAAAGAAAGAGGGTTGTGTTAGGTAGCCACTAATGTACAATTTAATCATATAAGCATAATCTGAATCCTAAAGAATACCATGAGAAGTAAATATAATCCAATTACAAGAAGCTAAAGGTTCTTTTTTTAATTTTAGGTTTTCTTTTGATGGAATTTATTTTAGGTTTTTATTCTTAGAAGACAGATGCAATCACAATTTTCATACGGATATAGGTAAACTGGTAAATATCTTATTATATGAGGGTTATTTTCCAAACCATTGAAATATCTGAGGGGCATACACAAAGAATCTTGTTTTTCATCGTACTAACCCTTGTGTTCGTTAGTTCAATATTGGATCTTCAAATCTTCATACTTCTGAATTGGATCACAAATTTCATATTTGTTCAAAATCGAAGGTCCTATAGGTCATTTAAAAGAAAACTTAAATGAATTTGAGGGCTTAATTTGGAAATATGAAGAAGGGGGTCCAATATAGAATTAACAAATATGGTCTAGCATGGCGGAAACCTCGCTTTCAAAGGGTTATCCAGTATTAGTCCCTAAACATTTCCACAATTTCATATCAGCCCTCAATCGTAAAATTGCTCACAAGTACCTCAAATCTTAAGGAGTCTTGCAACTTGGTCCCTCAATGACGAAAGCACTCGTCAATTTATATCCCCCCCAAATAAAAAAGAAAAATCTCTCTCATTCAAAATAACGTTAGCCAATTGTATTCTGGTCACTTAGGGGCCAAATTGCAAGACCCCTTAGGATTTCAGAGACTTATGAGCAATTTCTAAGATTGCAGGAGCAATTTCTAAATAAAATAGCCCTGTTTATAAAATCCTAGCAGCCGTCATCATCTACCGAAAAACCTCTGACAAAAGCCCTAAAAAAGCTCAAGCTTTCTCAAGCTTTCTCCACCTTTTTCGTTGTTTTTGATTTCTGATTCTTAATTTGATAGCGAATGGCTCAGCTGCTAGCCGCTCCATCGGCTTCTTCACCGAAAATCTCCTCCCATTTCCACAAACGATTCGGTAGAATCCAACTTCAAAAGCCCAATTTTTGAACTAACTAATTTTCTATTTTTTTAATCAATTTATTTAAAAAAAATTTATGGTGAACTGTAGTAAAGTTTGAATCTTTTTGGGTTTAGGGGATGGGAAGTTGTTGTCATTTGTTTATTTATTTATTTATATGTAAATTGTTGAGTAACGTTATTGAAAAGTCCTTTTTTTTGGTAGGTGCTCCAGTTTTTCGTGATAGCGTATGCTTTCTGAATAATCCCATCTCACGTTTAGAGGTATTGGAGCCAGCGAGGCTTTGTTTTCTCTCTTTCTTGATTTTATTTAAATTTTTTTTTTAACACTAGCGTGGGTAGTATTTTTAGGTTGGAGCAATTTCTAGCTCGACCAATGGTGCTCCAGTCATTCATCACACCCCACGCAATCGACATTTCGCTCAGAATCCCGGTATCTGAACTGAAACATTGTTGAAGTTTTCTCATTTGCTCATTGTTCAATTTTTACTGATGGTGGTCATACTTTATGAATTTGCCTTATTGTAAATTTTACACGGGTTATTGATTTTGGCCCAGCACTTGATTTCTAGTGTAATATAAGATCATGGGTATTATCTAAGCTTTTCATCCACACAAAATTGGTCTATTGTTGGGCGTAAGATCAAATTGGGAAAGCCCCGGAAAAGAACTGTTGACATTATTACTCAGCGAATGGCTCAGCTGCTAGCCGCTCCATCGGCTTCTTCACCGAAAATCTCCTCCCATTTCCACAAACGATTCGGTAGAATCCAACTTCAAAAGCCCAATTTTTGAACTAACTAATTTTCTATTTTTTTAATCAATTTATTTAAAAAAAATTTATGGTGAACTGTAGTAAAGTTTGAATCTTTTTGGGTTTAGGGGATGGGAAGTTGTTGTCATTTGTTTATTTATTTATTTATATGTAAATTGTTGAGTAACGTTATTGAAAAGTCCTTTTTTTTGGTAGGTGCTCCAGTTTTTCGTGATAGCGTATGCTTTCTGAATAATCCCATCTCACGTTTAGAGGTATTGGAGCCAGCGAGGCTTTGTTTTCTCTCTTTCTTGATTTTATTTAAATTTTTTTTTTAACACTAGCGTGGGTAGTATTTTTAGGTTGGAGCAATTTCTAGCTCGACCAATGGTGCTCCAGTCATTCATCACACCCCACGCAATCGACATTTCGCTCAGAATCCCGGTATCTGAACTGAAACATTGTTGAAGTTTTCTCATTTGCTCATTGTTCAATTTTTACTGATGGTGGTCATACTTTATGAATTTGCCTTATTGTAAATTTTACACGGGTTATTGATTTTGGCCCAGCACTTGATTTCTAGTGTAATATAAGATCATGGGTATTATCTAAGCTTTTCATCCACACAAAATTGGTCTATTGTTGGGCGTAAGATCAAATTGGGAAAGCCCCGGAAAAGAACTGTTGACATTATTACTCTGGTAATGTACCTGTGTCAACTGTATGAGGTTTGTTGTTACATCATGAGGAAGTGATATTAAAGATGTTGTTATACAGTTGGCGGGTTGGAGAAGTGAGAAAATTCAGTATATTCTCCATGCTGAGAGAAGGTATTGAGATTTATCACTACACAATGACTTCCTTTAAACTTTCAGATGTCTGTAGAGTTCCCATTATTTGCGATCTGATTATTGTTCCTCATATGTGCATGGATCTGTCATCCTCGTGGGGGCTTCATATTTTTTAAAAAGTTTCCTTTTTGTTTTTCTCTCATGCACGTTGTTGACTGAGTTAGGATTGCTGATATTACATGCCATTTTTTTATCTAGATATCAGTACTCCTCGCCTCATGAGTTGCTTAAACTTGGTGTGTTTTATTCTTGATGACTTAGCGATTTGATGCAATATTGAGTCAGAGATGAATCTTTGAGCATGATTTAGGAAATATATGAATGGCTGAGTATGAAGTTATAATAATACCTAATATTTGGTGGAGTAGGAACACTCTCTCTTTTTTGAAATAGCCATATGAATAGGTGTAGGGGTGGAAATGAACCAAATAATTAATAATCTGTTCGGTTATTATTCGTCCAGATATTTGGTCATATTCGACTCAATAGTTCATTTAATTATAAATGAATATTTTTTAATATTCGGCTCATAAACAAATAGCATTTAACCAAAGGTATATTTGATTCGATTGATTATTAAATATTCATTTATGTTTTACATTTTATTCCTCTTAAGTTTAATTTAGCATAGAATATTTATCTTTTAAAGTTGCACTTCAGGTATTTACCATGTCGACATATATCATAACAAAATATCTATTAGAAATAAATTCTTATGCTAATTTTATTCTTAAGTTGATAAACAGTTCGATAGAAAATGATTTCATGTTGATCTAAATTCTATAAGGAGATGTTTTCCTTCTTCTACATTATTACATTATACTAATTTTTATGTTAATATTGTTATTAATAAATATTTTAAATTAATGATTTATAAATATATGAATTTAATAATTTTAGTAGTAAGATATCATAATAATCATTAAGTGATGATGCAACATGTAAAAAGAAAACAAAATAAATAATATACCAACATAGGATTTGAACACCTGACTTCAATCAAATTCAAGAATCAAGTGCCTTAACCAAGTGTGCTAACAAATATTCGTGAATATTTACCGAATATATCGTTAATTGACTGAATCAAATTTGAAAACCTTCTACCCATTCGATACAAATTTGAATGAGTTTGCTAGAGTGAACTGAATCTGAATTTGAATTTAAAGGTATTTGATCAAATTCGATTCGTTTCAACCACTATATAGGGGTTGAGGATGATAGCATTCGTAAGACTGCTGTTTGGGTTTAATTTGCTCTGACCTTTGCCTTAAATATTCTAACTTAGGTTAAGTTCTGACACTACCAAGTGTTGATATGTACGAAGAACACAGTATGCTGGAGTTTGTACACAGAGAGCAGATGGCTGTATGACTAAATTCTAAAACACCACCTCTCCTTTTTTTAATTGATGAAATAAGAAGGTTATATCATGTTGTGGAAAGCTAGGGAGTAGAACCGACCGAGTAACGCAGAGGAAGAACAAAGATCATTTTTTTCTGTATGCCTTATCTATTAATTCTATTTTAATCTTAGTTAAGTGATAGGTAAATCAAAACTAAATGCTTTATGTAACAAATTAATTTTTATATCCAGACTGGTGGCCCTGTATCTTTTTTTCTAATTTCTAATGCATTTTGATTTTGCAGCCATTCAAAGCATACTCTCCGGAAAAGATGTTTCTGGCTTAAGTGATGCTCGTGGAAGTCAAAATGGAAGTGGACTACGGGGGAAATTAAATAAAGTTGTCCTAGCTTATAGTGGTGGCCTTGACACATCTGTCATTGTCCCATGGTTAAGGTATCTATTTAGTCTTCTTTCATTGATTTGGATCTGATTTTGAAATTGAAATGCGATCTTAAATTCTCTTTAAAAAAAATTCAGTGGTAAATCGTTCATATAGCTTCTGCGTAATCATATTTGCATGTCCTACAAAATCATTACAGAAGGAACTGTCTCAATGTTAAGTTTCTTTAAATAAGCAAATTGCTAATGGAATCCACTCATTTATATATTCTCATTATTTTATGTTCAACAAGTGGAACCTCTTACTTGATCTTTAGTAGCTTAGAAAATTTTTTGTGTGTAAATTTCACTGTGTTTTATCATGTGTGTGTAGTTGTAAATCATGAACAATCAAACAAATGAAATCACTATAAATCCATGTGTATTTTCTTGGTCATGCATGACTATGTTCTTTATCATCTGAATTTTGTGAACTTCAGCACACTGTTGTTACCATTGCTTCTGGTTCCCTCCTCATCCACTTCCACTTACTTGTTGCAGGGAAAACTATGGATGTGATGTTGTTTGCTTCACTGCAGATGTTGGTCAAGTATGCCACTGATTGCTAGAATTTATTCTGGTTTAATATAATCTCCTTTGAATTCTACTATTAATGTATATATGATATCTCTTTATATTCTATCTGCTTGATGTAAACTTCTTGTCTGGCTGATAGAATTTCCCCCCCATTGTAGCATGCACACTATATGTTCCTTTGCATTCATGAGGACAGGATGGATTAAATGAAATATAGTGATATAAACATGCATTTTAAGATTCTATAACCGTTTTTCTTTGTGTCATATAGATGCATTGCTCTTATGCTTGAATTGGTTTTTTGCTTAATTTGCTTGACATATTACGTTCGTGGAGCAATTCAGAACTTCATTCCTGTGTTCTCTTCAGATTTAATGACGCCTTCTGTTTCTTTATGTTGACAATTTTCTGCATTACTTCTGATCTTTGAAGGGTGTCATGGAGATGGAGGGACTTGAAAAGAAAGCGAAAGCTAGTGGTGCTTGTCAGCTTGTTGTAAAGGATTTAAAAGAGGAATTTGTTAAGGATTACATATTCCCTTGTTTGCGGGCTGGTGCTATATATGAGAGGAAGTACTTGCTTGGAACATCAATGGCTCGTCCTGTTATTGCCAAGGTGATTTTATATGCATCTGTTATGTGATTCAGTGTTTATTAGAGCCTTCTAGATATGGATTTCACTGGCTATCTGTTTATGAAATTTGTTAACTTTGAAGGACTACAAGGGTTAAATATTATAGTTTTATCTCGTATCTAGATTTTACTAAACTCAAAACTAAATACTATTTCTAAATTCATGTTAGACATCGCTGATATGTATTACGGTATTTTCTTCACATGGTAATATCTGATTTCTCTATCTTATGATCTGACTCTGGTGGGGACAGAAGATTAAGCAAATACTTATATTTTGCTCATTATCTATCTACATTTTTATCTCCTGTCATTGAAACTTTAAGGAAAATATCCCCCTTAGTTGTCTCCATGGAGCTCATTTTTATATTATAGAAATTTGATGTTTCCATAGCAGAAAGAAACTTATTATAGTGGGATACATACCTCTTTAGCTGCTCATATAGAATATCTTCATACCTTTTTATAGTGATCTTTTTGTTTTGATTTCTAAGGACTAATCATTTCTTGGATTCTGACCTAGTTCTTAACTTTAATTTTAGTTTGTTCTTCTTAACTTGTTTCACTCATCACCCTGAAAGTAAGAACTTAAAAAGTCTGAACATGTTTTACCTGGAAAAAAGGCAATGGTTGATGTTGCTAAAGAAGTAGGTGCAGATGCCGTTGCTCATGGATGCACAGGAAAGGGAAATGATCAGGTATGCTCAACTTCCATGATTTGTGTTGTTTACAACTTCAGTTGTTTTATCTTTTTAACCTTATATTTTTGCATTCAATGTGGCTTGCAGGTTCGATTCGAATTAACATTCTTTGCCTTAAATCCGAATCTCAAAGTTGTTGCTCCATGGAGGGAGTGGGAGATCACAGGACGAGAAGATGCTATCGAGTATGCTAAGAAACATAATGTTCCTGTTCCTGTTTCGAAGAAATCAATATACAGTAGAGACCGGAATCTATGGCACCTTAGTCATGAGGTAACTCTCTCTACTGTTTTTTCTCCTTCCTTGTTTGGCTACTAAAGCATCACGTATGCACATGCGCAAGAAATTCTCATGATTTGTAATAATGTCTTTGTGAATTGTCTGGTGTGGCATTTTGACGTTTGAGTTCATTTATTTCCAACTTGTGCATTTATAACCATCTTGGTTGATCTTGTCAATGTTCTTTGATAAAAAAGGTTTCAAGTTGTTTGTCTATAAATAATGTGCTGAAGGAAAACAATAAATGGCCCTTCAAAGTTATAATGAAATTTCTCATTATCAATGAGAATCAGCGCACAAAATTCTTATGGTTACTTCAACTAGCATTTTTGGGTCTTCTACTTTCTCTTTTCTCTTTCATTAGCATTTCCAGAACTTTAATAACTTTGAAGGTAAATATCAATCTTTGGTTAAGCCAATTATACCAGTGCCCCTAGATACATTTTTGTCCTGGTAATTGTATAAAAACATGTGCATCTCTGTAGAATCCTAAATGTTAACATTCCAGATGTCATCAGTCATCTATACGATAGAAGCCTGAGTCTCTTTCACATGATTATCTCGCTGATTGGCATAGCTAATGTAGATCATTCTGCCTGTAAAAATTGGAAGACAACAAAAAATCGAGCAGTTTACATTCTCTTTCCTATCAAACTGCTATGAGCAGATCATTTTATAGAATTGACGGAGGCATGGGAATTATTTTCATTTCCGTATTGCTTACTGCTTGTTGGTAGTGCATCTTTTCGCTCTTCCATGGAGATAGTTAACTATGATAAGTATAACTATCTCCATATATCTGCAAGTTATAATGGGTTGCTTTGACTTTTGAAGGGAGATATTCTAGAGGATCCTGCAAATGAACCAAAGAAAGACATGTACATGATGTCTGTTGATCCTGAAGATGCCCCAGACCGACCCGAGTAAGTATCTTGTAATATATCATCAGACATTATTGACCATGGAGATCATTTCTTGATCTTACATCAAATTTCCAGTATCCTGTTTTGAACTCGCTACCTCTGTAGTTTCATGGTTGCAGATAAACCCTGGGTTAAATTTTTTTTGACTCTTTTACTCTCAGGGAGACTCACTTATTTCACCCAGGAGCAACAATATCTGTCAAAATTTCATCACATGTAGAAAAGTCAAAAGAATTTAACCCAGGTGGTATGTCTGCAACAATGAAAATCTAGGGTTAGTAAGTGCAAAACAACAATACTATAGGGGGTTGAAGTGCAATTAACCCTTTTTTGATCTTACATCAAACTTCTATTGAGATCCACAGATACCTAGACATCGGAATCGTCTCTGGCATCCCCGTTTCCCTTAATGGGAAGGAACTTTCACCTGCAACCCTCCTCACCAAACTCAACCAAATCGGTGGCGAAAATGGAATCGGCCGAATCGACATGGTAGAAAACAGGCTCGTTGGCATGAAGAGTCGAGGAGTCTACGAAACTCCTGGCGGTACTATTCTCTTTGCTGCAGTTCGAGAGCTTGAATCTCTAACCCTAGACCGAGAGTCAATTCAGGAGAAAGACCGCATCGCTCTCAAATACGCTGAGCTTGTTTATGCTGGCCGGTGGTTTGATCCCCTTCGTAGGGCGATGGACGCGTTTATGAAGGAAATAACGGAGACCACAACGGGGACCGTTAGGTTGAAGCTTTATAAAGGATCGGTGACTGTTGTGTCGAGAGCGAGTCCTTATAGTTTGTATAGGGAGGATATTTCGTCTTTTGAGAATGGAGAGATCTATAATCAGGCTGATGCTGCTGGGTTCATTAGGCTTTATGGGCTTCCGACTAGGGTTCGGGCAATGCTTGAGAAGTAATCTGAGGAGGATTGTTGTTGTGGCTGAGATTGGAAAACGTTGAATGGTGTCTTTGTTTTTGACATTTTTATGAACAGATTTGAGTAAAAATTGTGCTTCAGGGTTTAGCAGCTCTTTTTACTGTTGCACAGTAATGAGGAATAATGCTGTGGCAGGAGATATAAAACAGTATAACGTGGGTGATTTATGCTGCAATGGAATTTGTTGAGTAATATTTTAGTTTCTTCTTATTAGCTTGTACATGATCAGAGAGAATAATGGGCTTCATATGACATGTGAGGGGTTTCTCTCGTATACATTCATATAATTGAATACACTGATAGAATTGAATTCATATGACTGAATACATTGATAGAATTGAATCTCAAATGAAGTGCATGAAGAGGTTCTTTCTTGTTACACTTTAAACAATAGAACTACAAAATTCCACACAAAACTTCACAAAATGCCCATTTCTCTGCAACTCAAAATGTACCAAAAATACAGACTATACAATGATACATGGTACGTATACACATCAAAAGAAATACAGGGCAAATTAACCAAAAAACCCTCCAGTCATAGAAAATTTAATCATCAATCCTCCAAACATCACGGAGTAGCTGATATCTAACGACATTCGCCGTGCATTTTCCCTCAGATTGAGCAGTTGAGTTCGATGAGTTCTTTAGCATGATTGAGTCTAGAGGAGATTCTAACTCATCAAGCTCGTCATCACTTGTGTGGCACTTTCGAACTACTGATGATCCGCTCCTCTTTAGGATTGTTGTGCTTCGAAGATCGCCAATTATGTTTTCAACTGAAGCAACTGAAGGTGGAGAATATGATATCGGAGATGCATTACAGGGGTGATATCTTATTTCTTCATTGCTGCTTTCAAAATGGTGCTGAGAAATGCAATACCAATATGTTACTGATTATGTTCTCAAAGATGACTATGGAAATTTTAGGAGTTATCTACAGAACTGATAACAAGAGGGATTTGTTTTCTTGATACTTCACAAAGCTATCACATGAGAATAATCGAAACTTGAAGATCCACAAGCGCCGCCACGCTCAACTACCTCATGTACACAGAAAAAGAAAATGGTGCATTTATAATTTTCTAATTGCTCGATGAAAGTGATTACTTGGTGCTATGGAGAGGCTTTTGTTTCATCATTCATTCTACTTATTCTTCTCAGTCCAAAATTTATCTTTTTTTTTTCAAAGTCGAAATCCTATTTCTGATATAGTTAAGATATGGCATTACCCGGAAATAAATAGGGGTTAATTGTACATAGACCCCTTATAATATCACATTGTGAGACTTATTACCCCTTAGTTTTGATATATTCAGATAGAACCCCATAATATCCATGTTTATTTATTAATTTTGCAAACAGACGTTACAGACGCCTGGTTTTTGAATTCAGATGCAAAGGGCATTCAGTTACCAGGGGGTCTTTATCTGCCCATATAAACTTAAGGGTAATAAGTGGGACAAATGTGATACTACAGGAGTTTATGTGCCATTAACCCAATAAACAATCCCCTGCTGCAACTCTCTGAGAATTTTTAGGCTTATAAGGACTAAATGTAAATGTCAAAATAGGCAGTAGAATTAGTTAGGGTTGAAAATTTCATGTCACCTCTGATTGATGATGCTATTGGAATTTGAATCTAGACCAACTTATCAAGCGAACAAGAAATCAAACAGTGAAAAGACTTGAAAGCTGAAAACGTGTTCGAATGAATCTAACCTCAGAATCCAATGCTTCTAGCAGCTCATCAGGTATTGAATCTGGACAAAATTCATCTGGTAAAAAGCTGCCAAGAATCTGCCTGATGATTGATGCACTGAATGTCGGACAAACCTTTCCAAAGCAAAAGTCATAAGAAAACGATCCATCAACCATACGGGAAAAAATAGATAAACAAAATTTTGACGTTTACCAAAAAAAAGGCATCTCTATAAATTACCTCTTTCCTGATAGTCTTCTCCAATAGCATGTCCTTTGGCAACATCAAAAGATCACTCAATGCATTCAGAAGGTGGAAAGATTTAAAAGTTTCTACAACATCAATCCTGTCATCATCTTGTTCATTCTCGGCTTTAGAGGACTCCTCCGTGCCGATACCAAATAAGTCAGTTAGCCATCTAGACCAGTTGCCAATCTAGCACCCAAAAATTTATCTTAGAACCTATACTATTGATTCTTTCACAGAATGAAGATAAGAAATAAGCAAAATTATTCCCCAAAACTTTAAGCTTTAAAAGGAAGTTGTATTCTACCAAATTTAGTTTCCAGTTCCTTCAGTTGACTAGTAGTTATTAGGTTCAACATACTGATGAAAGAAATATGAGCTAAGAGATACTTCCATTACTTACAGCATTTTTTAGCTGAGCTCCAGCTCCAAAAGTTGATTTTCCCAGTGGAATAGGTAGAACCTTGGGATCACTTATTGGGTCAGAAACGGGATCTGTGGGAATTTCATCATCCGATCTACGTAAAATAGCATTAAACATGGCAACATCAAGTCTTGCAACACATTGTTCCATGGCCTACAAGGGAGAAACAATGCAATGAATTACATGATAAATTTTAAGATTATGGACTCTATGCTCATATGTGCTTCTTTTTTTTTATTGATCATTGCAATTAGATATAGTTAACAATCATTTTAACTTTTCACAGCATGAAGGATTCACCAGTAATTTTTAGGCAGTTCAACCAAATTAATATCTGTTACCAAGAACATGTCTACGCTATATCAAATTATAAAGTAAAGCTTACAAAACCCAAGCATGTTCTTTTGGGTAAAGGCACAAGGCTCTCCAAGCAAAACAGGATTTTAGTGACTTTATTCTAGGTATAAGAAATGGTTATAAGGCAATAACAAGTGAAAGATGGACACTTTTAATAGTGGCAGGACTAGATGGTCATTTTTGCCTTACCAAATAGTACCTTATAAACTTTATGATAGCAATTAGCATGGATTTATAATTAGTTATACTAGTCTTCATATGTAGACTTTGCGGAGACTAAAAACTGTAAAATCAAGGTATAACTCCAAACATATTCCACATTCACAAGGCTGTAGGCCACTTCAATATTTATATTAGTTCATATCTCTGTATAATCCTTTCGGACAAGTAAAAATGAATAAGTAGTCAAATTTACCATTCTAGCCAACACTGGCAAGCACCCACACTCATGTCCTTCAGCTCTAACAGGACAAAGCCTTTCGCAAGCATCACTAAAAGCTTTCTTCCAAATTTCAGTCGAGAAGTTCTCATGTTTTATATCACCCAGGCTCGGTTTTCTTCTATATTTTTCCTTCATACAAGAACCTTTCTTAGGTTCATCACCTTCAACAGTGGACTGCATGTGTGGAGTCAAAGTCTGAAAAGTACCAAGAATTATTGGATTTCATTATTAAGAAATAGAGTTTTTTCAATGTTAATTCCTTAAACTTTTCATATTTTGAAGTTAGTTCATCAAATCATTGAAATTTCTATTAGGTCCCCCAACTCTCATAAGTAGTTTCATATAATACCTTCAATCAAGAGTAGAATTAGCAATTGGGAGAATTAATCTAAAACAACTTATTAGAGTTGGGGGATCTAATAGCAAGTTCAATGATTTGGACTATTTCAAAATATGAAAGATTTAAGGGACTCATATGAAAAAAAAACTAAGAAAGATAGGCAGAAAAATCAAAAGAAAACAGTGCCTTTACCTGCCACCATATGGACTCTATTATTCGAGAGAATATCCACGATTCAATCCTTTCTAGTGAAGCTGTGAGCGCGGAGAAATGTTCCCAATCATCAAACTTTTTCATGGAAGGAAATGTTTCCTTCTTATGATAAAGAGACTCCCATTTTAATGGTGAAAAATTCCCATTGGAATTCAATCTCGAGCCATTTGGTGAAGAGTGCATGCCAACTATATTGGAAGCACATGAATGCTCAACCGCTCGAGTAACAGTTGCTCTCAATACAATGGAATTTGATAACCAGAACGTCAATCTGATTTAGAAAAAAAAAGCCACATGTCAAATGAATAGGATTGTAGCGTATATACCATTAGCATTAGTTTATGAATAACATATTTCATGTTAGATTATTGCCTGATTCAGCACAATTTTATCCAAAAGTTAAAACTGCTTGGGTCGTGGGATTACAATGTGTATAAAGCTAATATAATTCTTACCCTTCCCACTCACATGGACCTATGGAGAAATTAGTAGGACCTCATTGTATGAACTTGGTAAGCAACATGGGGGTAAATTAATGCATTTTAATGATGAGGTTTGAACTTCTTTATCAAAAATCTTACAATATTTTGTTGTTGCCGAACAGTGTATATCAAACTAATATAATTATTAACAAGCAGCACATGAAAATCAGACTAATAAGTAAAGTACTTATAATTTAAATTTTGTTTTTTGGGGGACAATTGACAAAGCACTTAGGCACATTTGATTACTTAAAATTTCCATTAACAAAGGAAAAATGCAAAAAAAAATAAGGAATTTAACTATAAAAATCATATATCATTGTCATGGGAGGTCATCCATCATATTAACTATTTAGGTGCTTACGGATATTCATCATAAATAAGCAAGTTACGTGCCTTGGGACATCATTTCCACAAGCTTTCGCTACCAAAACTAATCCAGATACAATACTTCTAGAGGCATTTGCCTTCCTCTCTCGTGAACTTTGCTTTGAAGCATGAAAATATAACCTCGAAAGGCGTCGAGCTGGAGTATGGACCTTGTGCACAGAGCTCCCATGCTCCGCAACAATTGAATAGAGACTCATCTCAATGGCAGCAGCCTCTCTTAGCTCCCCTTCAAGCTTCTCAACTCTAGACTCCAATTCTTGAAGTTTATTATTAGGGAAGTTATTCATGTTACCTCCAGAAGACTGCTTGAGCTTACCTGAATTTGATGTTATATTATGTGCAAAAGACTTTGCACGGCCAGTATGTACAATATCCGAAATGTCAATTTCTTTAACATCTTCCTCATACTGATTACTTGTTGAATGCCTGAGGCTTGACCTCATAGATAACCGCATATTCTTTAGTCTCTTGCTTGTTAAGGTTCTACTGTCCTTTTCGCCAAGAAGACTCTGTGTAGATGTACTCATTTCAGATTGCACTGGCCTTCTCAGAGCATTTTCAAGATATTTATGACGAACAACTGGCGTGTGATCCAAGCTCTCATGTGATGCAATAGAGCCATTACTGGGAGAACTATGGGTTGAGGATTCAAATTTAATTGAGGGATCTTCAACTACTTCCATCTTTTCTTCCAAACCATTCTCTCTGTACTTGTGTGTATCATCAACGCTTGTGCCCATGTAAGAATCATCTCTATTATTTGCTTCCCTCTTATCATCATTGCTCTGATCAGGTTTAGCTATATTTACAGGTTTCAGCACCTCATTTTGATTATCAACTTCTCCAACAACATTTTCTTCATCCCCCAAATCATGTCTCTGGATATCTTCAGAATCTGTAGTTGATGGTGAAGAATTAACGGTGGGTGTAACTTCTGATTTCCCCAAAGGAGAGGTAGGCGAAGAATTGTCAGTGATATCTACACTCTCGATATCATTAGATACTTCTGCTGGCAATGATTGTGGAAAACTCTTATTTTGATGGATGCAATTGCCATTAATAACAGGTGGAAGTGCCATGTTATCTGATTCTGACTTCACGGGTACAGGTTCCAGAGGAAAATTAGTTGCCCGGTTGTTCTCATTTTCTACATCTGCACTCTATAAACCAAGTGAAAATTATCAGTCACTGCTGATAGTAACATGATTAATTTTATTACTACTAATATTGGAAATTTTTGTATCCATTAATTGGATGCCTTGTTCATCCATTTCCAAGTCTTCCCTTAAAGCTTTGACATATCATAAATTATAGCATAATGGAATAACGATCCTAAAAGCAGGCAACGGAATTGTATTCATTATGATGAGTTAAGTGCACATAGAGTGCAAGGAAATATCTGTTCCAAAGCATAAAATGCACACATTACCAAGAACTTGGACTCAAATGTAAGATTGCAGGTATAATAATCCCAAATAAAGCAAGAATGCATCAAAAACTTCTATAATAGCATATGATGATTATAAGAAATGTGAACTAGGTGCATTACCCCATTATCTACTGATTTTTCTTGAATACTTTGAGCTTCCAACTTTGCATTAGCCTCAGAACCAGAAACCAAGTTACCAAGAGAAGATTGAGACGATATATCATCATCAGTAAAAGATGCAATCTCAGCCTCCTCCTCCGCTGCATATTCTTCACTCATCAAAGCCGAAACAGACTCTCTACCATCTCTATCCAAAGCAACCTCCTTGGACAAACTCTCTCTAAACGAAGAGCTCACGCTCTGTCTAAACGAAGAGCTCGTGCTTGAGCTCTCCTTATCAAAAGCCTGAATCTTAATATACACCACAGGCAGAGCTGTGTTCCTATAACTCCTCTTACAGTTAAATGGAACCCCAAAACTTACAACATCTTTAATAATCCCGTACTCAGCCAAATCCACCATTGCATTACCCAAGAGCTGCCCTCTTACACTCCTATCTCGCCTAGGTTCATATAAACTCAATTCAAGAACATTCTTTTGGTACCCATTTCCTTTCCCTGAGTACTCCTTGATCAATGTGGTATGGAGATTGAAGCTCTCATTGAATTCGACCTTTGACTGAGATGGGGCGACTGGGCTAGTTGATCCGGAGCTCCGGTCGCCGTTCTGCCACTGAAGAATCACTGATTTGAGGGATTTTAGAGATTGAGAAGGGGGCCATGGCTTGATTTCTTGAATGTGGATGGTGTAGTCCACTTGGGTTGAAGATGGCCTTCGATTTTTGGACTTCAGGCCTAGAACCATCGTATCAAGGATTGATCTTTGATGCTGATTTTGACAAAGTTTTGAACTTTTCAGCAACAGGAGGAATGGGTTGAGATCAAAATCTCAGCTTGGCTTCGAGGACTGAAGAAATAGGCACAATGCGCCATTAGTTATTTCAGTTTTTTTTTAAAAAGTTTAAAGAAAGATCGAGTTCTTGGTGAGAAATTGAGTAGAAAACAAGATTGGATTTTGATGTTGATTTTGGTAAAGGTTTCAACTTTTTGGCAATAAGAGAAATGGGTTGAGATCAAAATATCACCTTGGCTTCAAGGACCAAAGAAACAGATACAAGGCACCATTATGTCAGCAAAAACAAACTTTAAAGAAACATTGAGGTCTTGGTGAGAGATTGAGGAAGAAAACAGGAGAGCAGGTGAAACATTAGCATCAGAGATGCGGCAACCTCAGCCTGATGATCACTGCAAAGGGACGAAATCAAAATATTTTATTTGGTTGTTTAATACAATAAAAGCAACTAACACTGAACAATTGAGCTTGAATGCTTCAACTACGTCTTAAGCCAAAGACATAATATTCCAAGAAAAAAACAAAGAAATACTGCAAAAAGGACAAGAATGTGAACAGTTTCTTACTGAGATTTTACTCTTTACTACCTCATAAACTAAGAAATAAGATGAGAATTGATATCTTATTAATAGGGTAGAAGTTAGCTAAAGCCATTATTACTCATCATTAGACTTAAATTTTTAAATTAAAGCTTTGGGTGAAAAGGAGAATTTTAGTCAGAGAAAGTGTACTTCAAAATAAAGTAACACCAAATAAAGGTTCTGACAGGTGGGGTCCACATTTTGTTGGGTTTGCATAATTGCATGCGGGTGGAGTTGATTTTTTTCAGAACCAGGTTTTTTTCTTGGGGCATATACAGTTACTTAAATGTTTGATGATCTTAATTAGCCCCTCAAGTTATTGAAATTGCTACAAATCTCTCAACTTTTAATTGGGAGCTAATATTTTTGCCGTGAATTTCTAGTTAAACCCCTCTGTGTACATTACTCCAGATTCAAACATGTTTTCTTCAAAATCCATTTTAAAATTTAAAATACATTAAATTCTCTTTATCCCGATAGTAATTATTTCTTCGTTTAACATACCCTGCGAAGAATTGATTTGGGGTTTGTTGGGGGGTGAACGCGTAATAGATAGTAGAAATGTGATTCCTTGTGCAGGGTTAACAACTAATCTAACCTAAAAGTTTTAGGACATTAGACACGTTTACTAATGGAGGGATTCTTTAAATTTTAAATAAAAAAAATCCAATAGAGGGTTCAACTTTGAACCGTTTGGAGGACTTATTTGAAATATTAAATATGTAAGGGCTAATATGAAAGAAGAAACGTTTACATAAAATGGCGGGTGCAGTTATTGAAGGAATGTGCCACGTTGTCGGGTTACGTCAGATTCTTTTTTTGTCAGTGGCTGTCGTTCGATCTGAAGGAGGAATGGAATGCAATTCCCACTTCCCATTCCCTCATACCAAACACACCTATATTTTAGATGTTGGAATGACCATTCCCTAGGAATGATCATTCCCACTATTTGTGGGAATGAGCATTCCAAGTGAGAAGATAAGGAATGGTCATTCCCATTCAAGTGAGAATCAAAAACTAGTTAGGTATTTTTTAATTATATCCATATTAATAATAAAGAATGTTTGGGTGAGGCGCTATGCAAGTGGGCAATTTTAGATTGACAATTTAGGCTAGTATATCATTTTGCTATTTCGAAACTTATTATTTTAGTTGGTATTGTTTTATGGATTTTTGCTATTATGAATTGAGTGATTTTGATACTTTATCAAATAAGTTAATTTATATATCTAGAACTGTGGATTGTGGATATCATTCTTTTTTTTTTTGGACCTATGAAAGATACGATAATCTTTTTTTTATTTTTCTTTAATTTTTAAGACTAAGAAATAGCGAGTATTGTTTAAAAAATATAAACGAAACATACACCTGATGGATAACACGAGCATTAGTATAACACATACCTAGATTAATATAACATATGCGTATATAAAATTATTTAGTTATTATCATTAATGTTTATTTTTTATCTTATTAAAAATCTATGTTGTTGTAAGGGCATTATTAGAAAATGAGATTTCATTCTCACTTGTGTACTAGTGATACCAAACATGGGAATGGGAATGAGATTTCCATTCTAGCTTCATTCTACGAACTCACCCAAACAAGAGAATGAGAATGACCATTCCATTCCCACATGCAATCCATTCCATTCATTCTTCCATTCCATTCCCAAGTCTGTCCATTCCCGCGTACCAAACGAGGCGTAAAATCACACCCTTAAACTACACTACCAACCACATCTCTCTCTCAGCTACAGTGTTTTTAGGTTTTTAAAATAAAGCATGTGGACCCCAAAAATACTGTAGCTGGAAGAGGGAAGTGATTGGGAGTGTGGTTTAAGGGTGTGCCTCTAGTGTTTCCCTTTTTGACCGAAGATATGACAGGTGTGAATTTGGACCTCGAGCTACAATAGCATCTTAGAGCATATTCAAGAGCCTCCCATTCCGAAGGGTGATGTAATAAGGAAAAAACTATTAATATGCTCTAAAATAAACTTTCAAACACACTCTTAAGTCTTAGTTGACGGTGGGGCCCATTATGGAGCTTCTAAGAGCTCCACAAATTTGTGAAGCACTTGTCAGCTCCTAAAGGGTGGGAACCCATTAAAAATTATTTTTTATTAGATTTATTGTTTTAAAAATATTTATAAAATGTTTTTTTTGGGAGGATGAGTTTTTTAAATAATATTTGAGCTCCTAGTTAGGAGTTTGTTGGAATATTTCTCCTAATAGGAAACTCCTAAGTGGGTCCCATGCTTGAAAGCACTCCAACAAGAGATCCCTATTAGGAGATTGTTGGAGATGCTCTTATAGACGAGAAGTATTAGATGCGAGGTCCTAGAGTTCTTAGGAAGGAGTGTCAATTACACTAATAAAAGATATGATAGGTGACATGATTTGGAATGTAGCTCCACGTAGACAAGAGCCTTCAAATAAGGGCTCCGATGTAGTTGTGTCAATTATGCACGTTGACACAAAAAAATTACGAGTGATCTGATTTGGACAATAGTACCATGTAAGTATGAGATCTTGGTTCTGATGCAAGAGTTTCAATCAAATTGATGCAAAGGATATGACAGGTGATCTGATTTGAACCATAGCGTCATGTAGACGAGAAGCATCATATATGTAGTCTGATGTAGCATATATTTGTGTCGATCATCCTAACATGAAGATATGTCAGGTGATTTGATTTGGACTCTAGCGTTTCATGGACAACAAGCATCTGATTTGGAATCTTGGATCTATTAGGTGACCAGGCGGATTGTTAGATCACGTCCTAACAAATTAAAGACCACTTATAAAATTAATCTACTCATGAGATTAAGTTTGATTACGAGTGTACTTTTTTTCTTAGAGATGTCCTAAGGAGAACTTGTTTTTAATATTGATATGTTTTGAGAATTTATGAGCTCGCATAGACATCATTTGTGTGAGACGTCATTTGGGCGTCGAATAATTCAAACACCTAACCATGTACCATTTCAAGTAGTAATCCAACTACCTGTTGATATAAATGAATAATAAAGGATTTATATAGAATGATACTGTTTATATGGTTGGATTCCGTAAATAAAAATTAAAAGATGTTTATTTAGTAGTATGTTAGTTTTAGTACCACAATGACTAATTGAATGCATTTTAAATAGTTCAAAATAACATACATGTAAAAATTATATAATAAAGGTATTAGAAACCTACATTTGTGAATGTGTTGGTATGCTAGCAAGCGTGTCGGCTCGTGCGAGCGGTTCGTGCATGCAGTCCGACGCGTGCCCTTTTTGCATGTGCTGTGTTTAACTAGCCTAAATGTTTTGTATGTCACGAATGTTACAATGTTTGAATGATTGTTATAGCAAACGTTACAAACATTACAATAACTGGTATTCAAAGCCTTGTCTAGCCTCTCAGCTCACTTGAACCATATATAAAGGGCCTCCTCTATTCATTTGTCAGACACAAAATAGAAACATGATTCTTCTCTTGTCTTCCTTTTACAGTTCTGTAAGCTGCCGGTATTGAAGATTCAGGCAAAGTGAAGTTACTGTTGGAGTTGTAACTTAAAACTTGGGTTTGTAGAGGAAAAGAGGAAAACTTTAGTCCCACATTGGAAAAGATATGGGAAGATAGGCTCTTTATAAGCCTTCCCTTTCTCTCCTATGCCTAGAAGAAAACAAAGGTTATGCTCCACACAACACACGCGCGCGCCGGCCGGGCCGGGCTCGGGTTCGGGTCGGGTGGCGCGCGCACACGACCTGCGGACACGAATGCCGCTCCGGATTAATGGGCCTTTAATCTGATACATTTTTATTTTTGAATAATTAAAATGTAATATTTATTAATAATTAAAATGTAATATTTATTTTTGAACAATTAACATGTGATAAACGTTTTGTAACGGTTAAGAGAATTAAATTTTGAAACGGTAATATTCATGAGATTTAAATCAGAATCAAAACGGAAAATAGTTTTTATGAAGAATTAAATCGGTAATTAAAATGAAAACGGATTTTTATTAAATCGGTAATTAAAACCGAATCGAGTTTTTATGAGAATTAAATCCGCGGGATTTGTAACGGCTGTTTTTTCCCCTATAAAAACCAACACCTGCCGAAGGCTAAAGACACAGATTTACAAACGAATTTCTCCTCTTCTTCTCTTTCAAAATATTTGCTATTATATTCTGTTGGTTCCCTGAAAGTCTAGAAGAGTTCGCAAAGCCTTCTTGAAGCTCGTGCCGACGAGAAGGAGGTCGCCTGACCGAGGGTCGTTGTATCTCCGGGAACTTTTGCCGCGTAGCCCAGTACGAGAGGGGGCAATTAGTTTCTTGGGACAGTGCTTGCACGCCTCGACCATCAGGCTATATTCTAAACTCAGTTTAATTTTATATCTATTTTCAATCATTATCTAATTCTGTTAAAACTGCATTTTGTGCTAATTACACTCTAAACAGATTATATTTACTAGGCAATCTTCCTCATCTTCCTCCACAGATTCCATTCCTATCCCAAGAACACCTCAAGAAATAGAGTATCATTGTCTACACAGAATCTTAGGAGCTTTATCTGATAGGTTATATGATATATATTATACTATCACTAATGCTAAAGTTCTGTGGGAAACCCTAGAGAAAAAGTATGGTTTAGATGATATGGGAATTAAAAGATTTAAAGCTTCTGATTTTAACAAATTTAAAATGGTAGATTCTAAACCAATGAATGAGCAAATTCATGAATTCGAACATATAGTTCACCAATTAAAAGTGAATGGATCTATCCTAGATGAAACATTTCAGATAGCCTGTCTTATAGACAAACTTCCCGAGTCCTGGTCAGATTTTGCCAAAAACCTTAACCATACCCAAGGAGATCTTACACTAGAACAAGTGTTGAATTCCATTAGAATTGAAGAGCAACATAGACTCAGGGAGAAAAATGTGACAAAATCTGAACCCAAATAACCCAAA